TATCTTGTGAGTGCGTATCATGTGTATCATGTGTATCATGTACCATATGCATCATATGCAACAGATGTTCTGTGGAAGGCTTAACAACTTCTGTGGGCTAACAAGGCTTAACAACTTCTGTGGGTGTACGAACGTAGGCTTAACAACTTCTGTGGGTGTGTACTCCACGCCAGTGTAGTTGCCACGGTCGTCCGCAGGCCACGAAGTGAAGTGTCCGAACGTCATAGGGCGGGAAGCTGGGTGTGGGTGGTGGCGAAGAGTCGTGTGGTTATTTGGTAGAGCTTGCACTGCCCCCCCACAAAGTGGGGGTATTGGCTGGCGTCGCATGAAAACCCTGGCACTGGTGAGAACACTGAGCGTTCGGGTAAAGTGATTGTTGTTGTTGTTGTTGTTGTTGTTGTTGTTGATGTTTGTGTTGTTGTTGTTATTATTGTTGTTGTTGGTGTTGTTGGTGTTGTTGGTTTTACTGTTGTTGTTGTTGATGTTGCTGTTGTTGCTGCTGCTGCTGTTGTTGTTGTTGTGGTTGTTGTTGTTGCTGCTGTTGTTGTTGTTGTTGTTGCTGCTGGTGTTGTTGTTGTCGTTGTTGAACATTATTAATTCTAAAGAATAATTATTGTTGGGCCCCCTGGTGCGCGCCCCCCCCGCCGCGCCTAGGCCGCAGCCACGTTTTCATCATTTTCGTGAGGAAGCCACAGGTAATTCGAGTTGATCAAGATCCGGTTGTTTTGTTGTAATCCGTTTTCCCTTGCAAAAAACACTATAAAATGAAATTTCTTGTTCTAATATAATCAAATTTCAAGAATCCCTTGCAAAAAATAAGGTAAAGTGGACATTCGCGCGCGCAAGACGAAATCCTTCCAAAAGCTTAGTGTTCGGAGCGATTTTAACATAAAAACATCAAAAAACCAATGGTTTTTCAACAAAAAAAATGTCAAAATCTCATCCCGCGCGCTCTTGCGGATTCGTAGGAAACCAACACTTTTTAAACATTTCTGTCAAACGGGCTTTTGCGAGCAACTTTTTCGAACTTCTGCGACAACGGTTGCGCACCTGCCAGGGCCATCATCCCTGTCAAATAATACCATGCGGGACAGATTCGTTTTTTTGCGGGACATACACCGCCCCGAATAAGTGACCAAGTTCTGTGGGTGTGTACCCCACGCCAGTGTAGTAGCCACGGTCGTCCGCACGCCACGAAGTGAAGTGTCCCAACGTCATAGGGCGGGAAGCTGGGTTTGGGTGGTCGCGAAGAGTCGTTTGGATATTTGGTAGAGCTTGTAATGCCCCCCACGAAGTGGGGGTATTGCCTGGTGTCGTATGAAAACCCTGGCACTGGGGAGAACACCACGCGTTCGGGTAAAATGATTGTTGTTATTGTTGTTGTTGTTGGTGTTGGTGCTGGTGTTGTTGTTGTTGTTGTTGTTGCTGTTGTTGCTGCTGCTGTTGTTGTTGGTGTTGTTGTTGTTGTTTTTGTTGTTGTTGTGGCTGTTGTTGCTGCTGCGGTTGTTGTTGTTGTTGTTGTTGTTGTTGTTGTTGTTGTTGTTGTTGTTGTTGTTGCTGTTGTTGTCGTTGTTGTTGGAGGAGGATGTGTATGATGAGGAGGGAAGATGAGGAAGGAGGAGGAGGAGGAGGAATAGGAGGAGGATGAGGAGGAGAAGGAGGAGGGATGAGGAGGAGGAGGAGGAGGAGAGGGAGGAGGAGGAGGAGGAGGAGGATGAGGAGGAGGAGGAGGGAGGAGGAGGAGAGGAGGAGGAGGAGGAGGAGGAGGAGGAGGAGGAGGGGGGGGAAGGAGGAGGGTGAGGAGGAGGGAGGAGGAGGAGGAGGAGGAGGAGGAGGAAGAGGAGGAGGAGGAGGAGGAGGAGGAGGGGGATGAGGGAGGAGGGAGGAGGAGGGAGGAGGGAGGAGGAGGAGGGAGGAGGGAGGGGGGAGGAGGAGCAGGAGCAGGAGCAGGAGGAGGCGTAGGAGGAGGAGGAGGAGGAGGAGGAGGAGGAGGAGGAGGAGGAGGAGGAGGAGGAGGAGGAGGAGGTCCGTAGCCATTTGGCTCAAGCCATTTGGCTCAAGCCGTTGCCTGGGGCCTTCGCCTTCCCTGGGGTTGGGGCTCGAGCTGGTCAGAGACCCGCACGACCCTCGATCAGTGGCCCTGCCCAGGGTGAGGGTCCTACCTACCCGCATACTCGCCACACCTTGTGGCCCAAGATTCCTGTTCGAGCTCTCTCATGGCTTGGGGAGATGCAGCAGGTGGACACCAGAAGAGTGTGTCTTGGGCTGACGAGCGTGGCAGCAACAAGCGAGGAGGCTCGAAGGGGCCCCATCGGAAGTGGCAGTGTCAGCTCTGTGGTTGTAAGAAGAACGGCTGGAGCTCCTGGTATTGCGTGCACTGCCACGTCGCCTGGAACGAGCCCGTCGCCGAGGAGGAGGGCATGCTCGCGGCGGACGTCCCGCCCCGCTCGGTCGGCTTGCAGCCCCCGCCTGGCCTGGGCAACGGGGACGCGCAGCTCTCGGTGGCCGGGATCCAGCAGCTCATCAGCCTTGGCACTAAGACGGGTGACCACGTGCTGGTCACCAAGTACCAGAAGCTATTGGAGTTCAAGCAGAAGGAGGCGGTCCAGCCGAAGGAGCCGCCGCTGCAGGTGCGTGCGCACCGAGCGCACGCGCAGGTCGTGCATCTTGAGAAGGTGCTGGAGGCAGCGATCGACAAGTTGGGTCGGCTACGCCAAGCGGTCGCAGACCAGGAGACGGAGGTCCAGCTGCTGCAGACGAAGCTCGGCGACGCGGACGACGAGTACAAGGGTTTGCTCAGGGCCATGTACAGCCAGGCCCACAGTGACCAGCCCGCGGCACCGAAGATCAATTTGGAGCAGTTGCTTGCAGGAGACACGTCGTGCATCGACCTGGACGGCTGCGACGACTTCTTCGGTCTTGCTGACATCTATGAGTTCACCGACACGGACAAGAAGGAGGCAGCTGCCAGGAAGGAGCAGCTGCGCAAAGGAGTGCAGGACATGGCGAAGCAGCTATTCGGAGGAGCCAAGGAGACCGCGGAGAAGTTGCGTCAGGAGCATTCCGCGCACGTCAGCAGGTTGCAGAAGAAGCGGAAGGGCGCCGAGGGCAACTCCGAGGGCGGCGGGCAGCGCTGTGCTGAGCCGCCTGGTGGTGCTGCTCCTCCAGCGGCTGCTGCTGCTGGAGGCCCTGACGCCCCTGACAGCCCTGTGCGAGGCTCGGGCGGTGGCGGAGCCACTGCCAGCTCTCCCAAGGTGGACGTGCGTGCTAGGGCCGCCGGGGCCCTCGGCAGCAAGGGATGAGGAAGCGGTGCTGGAAGGGAAGCTGGAGGCGTCCCAGGCGCGTCTGGGGCGGCAGGAGGGGCCCAGGGGAAAACGTCTGGTGGGTAGCAGCCTGCCTTGCCCCACTTGCTGGTGGGGCAATGCGGCGGTGGGTCCCTCGCGGCCGCCTGGGATCTTCTTTCGGTCGCTGGTTTGGCCCCCGCCCCCGCCGACATCCCACCCCCCCGATCTGCCGTCCCTAGCTCTTCCTCTTCCCCCTAGTGCCTGGCCTCTTACAGGGCCCCAAGCAGTTCGTAAGAGTAGGTTAGCCCAGCCAGGGCAGAGTAAGAATAAATCGTACAGGTCTCGCCAGGGAGAGTTTTTCTGTCTAGAAACCTGTAATACCACGGCTTGGTCCTCGGCAAAGCAGTTTCTCCAGGGGGAAGCGTCGAGTCATATCGTCATGCTTCAGGAACTAACTGTTGACCCGTCGGATCGAGTTGATTGCGAAGCTCAGTTGAAGAAGCTAGGCTGGCAGGCGTCCCTTCGCCCGTCGGAGGTCACCGAGGCTGGAGGCCTGTCAGGAGGCGTCACGGTTGCGTGCAGGGATTTCGTCGGGCTGGGCATGCCGCCGACGGACGTCAAGCGCTTGCCGAGCCCGCATCGCCAGCAGCTGATGTGGGTCAACGCGTATGTGCC